TATTACAGTATCGTCTGCTAATTGGGCTATTTTTACAGTATTTTCTGTTTTTGTATGCGGAAGTGATGGTAATGCAATGCCTTCACATAATGAATTGTTTCTGATATTAATGGCCATCAGTTCAACGACCAAAATAAAAAGTAACGCGGAAAGGGGACATCCTTGACGAATCCCGGAATTCATTAAGAAGCCTTCCGATATCCATCCATTGTTAAATAAACAATTTTGTGTCTCATTATACATTGTTTCCACCCAATGTATAAAACTCTCCCCAAAACCAAAACAATTTAGTGATTTAAACATGAATTGCCTGTCAACGGAGTCAAAAGCTTTTGCGAAATCTATAAAAATTAAGGCCCCCTTCTTTTTTATTTTTGTCCGTATATTCAAGAAGATCACCGATTAGTCTGATACTTTCCCCTGAAAATCTGCCATTGATATATCCTTTTTGGTCAATTAAAATCTTTTGAAGCTAAAATACAGTATAAAATTAAGCATGAACCCACAGTATTGGTAAGTTCTTCAAAGTCATCAAGTGTTGAAAGACTTTTAAAACAATTTAGACCATGAATTAAATCATAATTAGTTGTCGCACAATCAGTTAGAGGTAGTAGATTTTGTTAGTTACGGTGATTAATGAAAAAAAATAATATAAATGTCAACTTATTTGAAATTAGATTCCTTTTAAAACACTAAATGATTTTAGTAATACAAATGCAGTAATGCATCTAATAAAATATATGTTTATACAATATGTTCCGTGTTACACTATTTTTGTTTTTATGTACTTTTTTCTGTTCTATGTTTAGGGCATACCACCCACAAGCTTTTGCTTTTCAGGATTTTGCCATCTTTTTAAATTGTCTTTTTAATTACCTTATGTGCTTTAATATTATCAAAGAAGAAAATATATGTACGCTTGAATTGAATTGAATTGAACACGTCATCATCAAGTAATATGGTTCAAATAAAATAAAAATGCATATGATACATTGATTTATTATTTAAATTTTTGCAGAATTTTAATATTTAAAAAAAAGTTTTTGTAATAAATTTTATTATTCAGGGCCACTTTTACCAAGGCAATTTTACCCAGAGCCTTTTTATTCAGGGCATTTTTATTATTTGATGTTTGTAATGCTTCCATTTTGAAATAGTTCAAAACCGCTCTCTAAATTCACCTATATTCAATGGTGTATCAAAGATTTTAAAAGTGGGGTGCTAAAAATACAAATATTACATCCCGCTTTACGTACAGTGCAAAACTAGTACCAGAAAATATCAATGGCTTTGACTACACCATTATTTGCTTGTTATTTCCATTTATTTCCATTAATTTATTACTTGTTCACGTTTGAACAAGGGGGGGTGGGTGATCCGACACTGTAACCTACACCCTGGTTACGCTTTTTTTATGTTTTCTATTACTTGTCATGAAAAAGGTAAGGTTGGTGCAGCGGAATATCAGGGAACAGTTAAAATTAAATGTTCCCTGGGAATATCGAATGCCATAGTCCAATCAAGCCTGAACTACACCCACTGAGATAAATGAAACTCATTTCATGCCTCATTACAATTTTATGCAGGCTTAATATGGTTTAACAAATTACTATTGGTAATTAGATTCACATCAGGTTTGTGGAACCTGGCATATAAATAAAAATTATTTGACATGAATTAATATATTGCCCTGACGACTGATGTCTTAATTCATTCATGTACAATAGGTATTCTTTATGATAATGTTTTGCATTTATGTTCTTGTTTATATTTCAGACATGGTAACGATGCATTGATTAGTTTTTCACTCCAACCAAACATGTTTTATATTTTGGTTATCTTTAAATAATTGAATTATTAAGCTTATTATTATGTATACCGTAATTCAAAAAAGTATGCCCATTATTAATATTTATATTTGTTACTCATTATTGTAATTTTTATTTTATTTTTTTCTTTCACTAGTGTAGTTAAGTTCACATGCATACCTAAAATTTACAAGCTGCGGCTAACGATAGGTGGCGTCGCCATTTACTATTTTGTACAGCAAATTAAGTGTTGTTTCATTTAATTTCTTTATAAGCCTATACTTTTACCATTTTTAGTACCAATATATTATCAATAATGTATAGTCTGTTCACTTGGGCACTGGCCACCCATAACCTTTACTGTCATCATTTTGTTTTTTGTTTTGACTTTTGGAAAGGAAATAAATTCAATTCAATTCCAGTGGAGAACTATTGAACACATAATGTTGTCTTAATACTTTCATCAGAAAATAATTGATCCTGAAGTGTAACATTCTTGCTACACTTCATTGCCGACGCTGATTGGTCAGTCGAATCTGAGAGCATTCCCGATTGCGTCGAGGACAACTATGCAGCGCAAGAATTCCAGTGAAAACACTGTAGCAACTGTGTAGTGATTTTATGAAAACCAGGCTATACTGAACACTGTTCAGTGGTGTATCCAGGGAGTCGAAGTAAAGAGGCCCAGAATGAATGGATACTGTATTGTCGGGTTTTTATTATAATTATAATAAAAATTGAAGTTAAACATTCATTAAAAATATTAAAAACCAATACATTACACTGTCAGACTTATCACACTGTTATTATTATTATTATTATAATTAGCAAAAGACCAAATAATTTCTGACCTACTCTGGAAACCTCTATACTCTCACCGAGGCAGGCACCCCCTCAGCTACAGCCGAATGGCAAGTTAAGGAAGGTAAATTTGAATATCAATATCAGGCTATCATAATTG